CACCGGCCTCTTTCAATTACACCTGACTCCTAAATTTAATGATTTTGGAGTCAAAATTTTGGATACCATAATATGTGTGTGAGAGAGAGAGATATAGAAGTGGCATGGGAACGTGCATGCATGTTATAATTAAGTGCGTGCATTCAAAGTTTGCATGTGTTACGGACGTACGTGCATGCATGAATTGGTGCATTAATAATGTGACTCCGACGTATATCGATCCTTGGGTCGGGTATTTCTTTCTTGTGCAGCTGTACGTACTGTTTTGAGTCTTTTCAGTAGTGGGCTGGTTTAATTCATTCTCATTCAGTCATTCTCATGGTGGATCCAAAGAAGAAGTAATCGAGAAAAAAAAGATAAGGGTATACAGGAGCATAGACATAGCATATTTGATTAAAAAGTTAACATTCAGACATAAGAAAATAAGTAGGGAGAATTTTCTATAAAAAAAGAAGAAAACATAATAAAAATACTACTACTTCCGTCTTTGAATATTTGTCCGATACTGACTTTTTGCAGTTAATATTGGAAAACATAAATGCAAATCTCGGTAAAGCTTGGACTTAAATGCGGCCATAAAGATGTTCCCATTTTGATTGATGGGAAATTTTAGAGAGAGATATTTTTTGTGTTAATTTTTCAAAAATACCCTTGATGTGATTGGTAAAAGTATGATATGATATGTAGATTATTAATAAAAAATATGATGTGATAGGCAAAGTAAGAATTATTAGGGTTAAAAGTGATTTTTAATACAAATATGAAATAAATGAGAATGATTTTTTGGACGAAGGAATTATTTTATGCGTGACCGGCCACTTTGAGCATTGCATGCATGTGAAACTTGGTTGGTGTTTTTTAAAAGTTGACTAGCGATTAGTTTCTGACTCGTGACCATTTAGTCATCAAAACCCTGATACCATACAAGAAATTATTTGAACTAAAAATTCAAACTTGTAGTTATAGACACAAAAATATTTTTAAAATTTAACATAGTTATAGGAAGAAAGTATTGTCAAAGACCCTTATATATGGTCGAATTGGACAACATAAATGCGAATCTCGGTCAAGGGGCGGATCTACATGTAAGAATACAGGGGTAGTCTCCCTCAGTCGATTTTTTTACTTCGTAATATACAACATTAAAAATTAAAATAATATTTTTGTAGAGAATTAAAAAATTGACCCTAGTAAAAAAAATTAGTTTGCCCACTGACAAAAGAAAATCTTAGTTTAAAAGTAAAAAATAATTACTTAAAAAAAGATATACAAGTAAACTATTTGAAATATCATAATTATATTATGTTGTGATATAAAAAGATATACAAGTACTCTTTAGTATAGATTTGCCTTCAGTCATATTTTTTTCTGAATCTGCGACTGTCTCGGTCTGAAATAAAAAAAATAGATTGTTGAGATATAAACTCTTTGTGTTTTGGTATATTGAATAAGGATGCTAAGGCAAGGGGATCCTATATCTCCCTTGTTGTTTGTTCTCGTGGTGGAATATCTAAGTCGCTTACTACAGCAAATGTCCCAGAAGAAAGAGTTCAAATTCCACCCAATGTGTAAATCCCTTAATATTACTAGTTTATGCTTCGCAGATGACCTTATTCTGGTGTGTAAAGCTGAAGAAAGATCCCTTACATGCATCATGGAGGTACTGAACAGATTTCAAGAAACAACAGGTCTGAGTATTAATGTAGCTAAGTCACAGATAATTTTTGGAGGAGTTAACAGGATGACACATGAGAGATTGTTGCAAATCTCTAAACTACAGCTTGGTGATTTGCCTTTTAGGTACCTGGGAAGCCCCATAACTGCTGCCAGAATCAGTAGCAAAGACTGTGATAGACTAGTGGCCAATATAACTGGGAAAATCACCTCCTGGGCATCCAAACATATGTCTTATGCTGGCAGAAGTAGGGTCATTGGGAGTGTGCTCTATGGTATAATGACTTTCTGGTGCAAATTATTTATTATCCCAACAAAGGTTATGAAGAAGGTACAGAATATTTGCAGAAACTTCCTATGGGGAGCTACTGCCAGTTATGCAAAAAGACCTTTGGTAAACTGGGAGGAGGTTTGTATGCCAAAAGCTGCTGGAGGATTGGGCCTAAGAAATATGGTTCTTTGGAATAGGGCTTATGTATATAACTACTGGTGGGATATTTACAAAAACAAAAATAGCCTCTGGGTTAAATGGATACATGGAAGGTATATTAAGGGGGAGGTGAATAACTATGAGATAAAGGTGGACAGCTGCTTCTATTGGAAGAAAATAGTTCACAACAGAAAGTAGTATGAGTCCCTGGACACTGCAAAGGGATACACAACCGAAATGGGATATAAGTGGCTAATGGGGCTGGGCGGAAAATCTGACTGGGTTCCCTTTGTTTGGAATAGACTAACTGTCCCTAAACATCAGTTTCTTCAATGGCTGATTAGCAAAGTGAGAGTTAGTACTAAGTCTAGGCTGGCAAAGTTCATGGACATAAGCAGGACTTGTGAACTATGTGATGCAGCGGATGAAGACCAGGACCACCTATTCTGTAATTGTAGTTTTACCAAGGAATTACTTGATAGAGTATCTACCTGGTTAAATTACAAAATAGAGGGAGGAACGGTCCAAGATCTAAGGCAGAAACTGGTGAAGCTGCAGGGGAAGAGGAGGAAACAGGTCGTAAGCGCTTACTCGGCAGCTTGCTATACCATTTGGAGAGCAAGGAATAAAAAGCTACATTCAAGAAGCACGCCACAGCTCGAGAGTATGATGCAGTGGTTACAAACTACCATGGCTATATACTGGGAGAAAGGGAAGAGGAAGAAGATAAAACGATGAGTAGATAGTTGGCATAGAGAGTGATGTAATAGCTTTAAATGTGTGTTCTCCTTGTGTAAACTGATTGGAGGTGGATAAATGAATCAAGTGCATTTTGTTCAAAAAAAAGAATAAGGATGCACATCGTAATAAAAGCTAATAGTGTAGAAAAGAACATTAGGTTACTTGGAAATAAATAGGTAAATTTAATATGTGCGTCATTTTCAGTTGTCTCAAAAATCGGCGAAAATATAATACTCCTTACGTCCCCTATAGAATTTCCGGTTATCTTTTTATTATTTCTCCTTCATATACCTTTTCATTGCTTCTTTTAATATTTAAAATAGTACAACTATGTTCACTTACATTGTCTAATACACCTTATTTAATACTTTCAACTCATATATTTTCATTAAATTAAAGGATATTTCGATAAATTTTCATTTTTTCAGCTCTCTTTAAAACTAAAAAAGTTAAAACGTGAATATATTAGGGACCGGGAGTGAATAGAAAGAAATAATGCATATGTCCGTGGGTTCGGCTCTCGGTGGGTGCTTCAAGTGGTGGGCCAACAGCATATGCAAATTGCTCCAATCATTATTTCTAATTACGAAGTACCCCATAGTATTTTAATACCGAGTAAAAACGTGGGCATTAAACTACCTTTACAATAACAATAATTATAAAATAATAACAATGATTATAAAATAATAATAAAATAACAACAACAATAATAATAAAATATTACTATTAAAATAATAATCCATCCGTCCCATAAAACCTTTCTCCTTTCTTTTTTCATCCGTTCCATTAAACACTTCTCATTTCTATTAAAAAGTTACTTTTACCCCTTACTTTTTCATACCCTATCCATCACATCATACTTTTTTACTAATAATCTACTCATCAAATCCTACTTTTACACATCACATCAAAGGACATTTTTGGAAATTTAATACCAAAATACACTTACTTAAATTTTTTTTAAAAAACAAAATATCCCGTGTTTCATGGATCGGAGGGAGTAATAAATAATACTCCAATCCGTAATTATATTATATATTCTGTATAATATATAGATCGGATACAACAATCAAGCTAGGTGTATATGTACCCCAAAAATTATACCATAAATATATTGCTAAAGATTTACGTTTACATTTCGAAAAGTTTACAATAATATAAAATGTCAGTGTAACCACAAATAAAAACTTCACCTTTTGGCTAAATTTGAACTATAATTTTTAGAGTACTAATAAATTTGATTATGATCTTTGATGGGTATATCCTTATACCCGACCCGGACAACCGAAAGGGACAGGTCAAAATATGACCGGTCACTTTTATCAATCACCAAATGAGGTTAACTCTTCGATTGGGACGGGTCAAAAGTTGACTGGTCACTTCCACTAAAAAAGTGACCGGTCACATTTTGGGCGATAGCCAAAATGTCGCCTAATGTTACAAAGGACATTCTAGAAGACCAGAGACGGGTTGAGCACAAAGAATGACCGGGTAACTTTTGAGAGAAGGTGACCGGTCATATCACTTTACTTGGCTAACATTGGTTCAGTTTCTTAGGCATGGTGAACCACGTCAGAGGTCAAGGGGACACCCCGCCGCTCATCCATCACGAGGCACACAGTGAAAGGGATGTTTGTCATTTTGCAGGGTTGATTGGATTGAGAATATCCATTTTAGTCTTTGATTGAACAGTACATGTCTTGGCTTATAGTTGCTAAATTCTATGATTGTACAATGTTCCCATTATCTACAGTGACCTTCCCACGAGCTTCCTATTTTGTCCAAGGATGAACAGGGGAAGGTCACAAATCCTCCTCTATAAATATGATGATATTGGATAGAGGAGGGGATCCAATTTTTCTCTCACTAAAGTTCACTCTTGAGATAGAGTAAGAAATATAATTCGGACTGAGGAGATTTACTCGGTCTAGGTCATACTTTGTGTTCTTGTTGTGTGTTTTATATTACGGGTCGAGTGTGTCCAGGTCAAACCCGGTTAACCCACCCCGCTATATTTACACCATCATTTTTGGCGCCCACCGTGGGGCCCGGATTTTTAAAGTTTTTCGACCAGGTCAAAACTTTACCCCCACTAAATATCCACAAACATGTCTTCGAGCAACTACAACGCTGTGTCAAGCCAGGCTGCGAGTGAAAGCACTCCTGCCATCCCATTGATGATGTCGAGCATGAGGACGACCTTTGCTCCGATCACTACTGTAGGATCAATTGGCATGGTCCCAATCATGTCAACCCCAACTCCTACGCCGACGACAACAATGTTCCCAGGCTCGATAACAACGCCTGGTGGAGCATTCACACCATACCCGTCAGCTTGGGCTCAGTTTGCTGCTGACCCGGAAAATGCTCAGGCTCTACAGGGCTATCAACAGGTGATGGCCATGATGCAACAGGCAGGTGGCTTCATGCCATTTGCCTATCCTGGTATGACGCCGCCAATTATGCCACCTCCGGTGTCGACCCCGTCGACATTTATCCCTAGGATGGTCCCTATACATCCGGTGAATTTGACGGGGACTTTGAATGAAGCAGCGCCCTCAAATGTCCATGAAATCAATGAGGCGGGGCAGGAGGCGGCCCGCAGGAAGAAGGGTAAGGCTATAGCCGAACCCAGCAAGACTCGAGATTCGGCATTCAAACGCCTAGGGGGCAAAGAGGATGGACCCCGCAAGTCTGCCAAGCTACGTCTTGATCCTGAGATGGGCCGGACTAGCGCAACGGAAAGACTTGGCGGGGGTCGTCACGCCCAATCTCGTCGTTCTAAGAAATCTGAGACAATTCACCAAGACGAGGAGGAAGCAGAAAGCCAGCCGAGGGCGTCGGCATATACCAGGCTCTCATATGATGAGGATGATCTGGACAAGATAGGAAGCGTAGCAAAAAAGCTACGTGCCCTGGAAGAAAAGGTGGACGAGAAGGCGGGAGCAAAGAAGCACACCCTAGCCAAATCACCCTTTTCGGCGAGGGTACATGCACAAAAATTGAGGCGTAAGGTCAAGCTGGACGTGGAAAAATTCACTGGAAAGGAGGATCCAAACGTCCACCTTGACACCTTCCACAATGCAGCACAGATGGCCGGGTGCACTGATGCTGAGGAATGCCTGCTCTTCTTCTCATCCTTGAGAGGGAGGCCAGTGGAATGGTTTAACGGCCTTCCCCATGGGAGGATTGGGTCCTTTGAGAAACTTGCTGAAGTTTTCCGCAAGAAGTACCAGGACAACTGCATCAAGAGGAAGAAATTTACCTACCTTAACACGGTAGGGCAGAGGGAGAAGGAGACCTTGACTCAATTCTTAACCCGCTGGAGGGACGAGGTTGACAAGGTAGAAGAGATGGACAATAAGACGGCCATGTCTTTGTTGATGAATGCCTTCCGGTCAGGTGACCTCTACACTGAATTCTGTAGGAGGCCGCCCTCCTCTTATCAGGAAGCCTACAATACGGCATGGGAATATGCCGAGGCAGAAGTGCTGAACAAGAATAAGCGGGAGCTGGAAGAAGGCTACACAAAGTCGAAATCCGACAAGCCGAAGAAGGATGAGCAGACAGGAGGGTCCAAACTAAAGGCCACATATGACGGATCCATCCACCAAATAAGGGATGATAAGAAGGGAGAGCAACCCAAGAGACAATGGACGGAGAAGTGGTGCACATACCACCAATCCGATTCCCACAACACGGCGGATTGCCGAAATGTCAAGGCTGTGCTCAAGGAGATGGCCTTGAAAGGAGAGCTTGGGGAAGGTTACGCGACGGGTAATAAGAAAGACCCGAAAGCGAACACCTGGACCCGTCATCAGGGAAAAGACC